TCTCAAGCAAAATTAAGTTGCTCAGATGGTTCAGTGAAGACATTATAAGTTTTGGGTCTTGGGTTCAAATCCTCAATGTAGCAAATAAAATAATAATAATAAAAAATAAATCTTTTAGTTGGACCTCCTAGCTCTCCAAACATTTTATGCATGTGACAGGGCTAGACTCCTCCATGTTTAGAGCTTTTAATAGTTGGGCCTTTAGCAAATTGGTCACTTTGTATTGCAATGCCTCTTGTGTTTTTATGAGCCTGCCTCTTGTCATAGGTCCACCTAAGTCTTGGATTGGATATTGGTCTTGATCCTTCTCGTTATGGGCTTGGGCCTTTATGTCCACATCATTCCCTCCTTCTTGGGCAGCATTTGTCCTCAAATCTATGAATTCATCTCCGTGATGTTATTAATAGCTCTACAATCTGTGCACATCCTCCAAGTTCCATATTTCTTAGGGACTAGAATGACTGGGACTGCACATGAACTCAAGTTTTCTTTAACACACCCCTTTTGCATGTAGTCTTCAACTTGCTTTTGAATCTCCTTGGTTTCTTGGGGATTGCTTCGATAGGCTGGTCTATTAGACAATGAAGCTCCTGGAATAAGGTCAATTTGGTGCTCAATACCCCTAAGAGGGGGTAGACCTTTAGGCATTTCTTTGGGAAAAACATATTCAAAATCCTGTAACAAAGAAGAAACCTCTTTTGGAAGAGAGTTAGTAAAACATTGACTGTTTGATTTACTTTCTTTACTCAAAAGTAAAAGTATTGACTTTCTCAATTGCATAGCTCTTTTGACTTCTTTTTCTTTTATAAACAGATTTGATTTTTTTCTCTCTTTCTCTTTTTCTTCCTCTTTTTCCTTTTTCTTTTCACTCTCTTTTTCTTTTTTCTTTTCTCTTTTCTCTCTCTTTTTCTTTTCTTTCTTCTTTTCTTTTCTTTCTCATTTTTAGTTGATCCTCACTAACTTCTCTTGGAACCAAAGGTGCAAGAGTAGTTTTGCGGTCTTTATGCATAAAAGAGAACTTATTAGTGAAACCATCATGCATAACTCTCCTATCATACTGCCATGGTCTCCCAAGAAGTAAATGACAAGCCTCCATAGGCACCACATCACACAAAACAGAATCTTCATATTTCCCTATGGAAAAACCCACTTCAACTTGCCTATTCATGGTCATCTCACCATCTTCACTAAGTCATTGAAGTTTGTAAGGTCGCGGGTGTGACTTAGTCTCCAAATTCATTTTTGAAACCAACCGTGCACTAGCCACGTTAGTGCAACTCCCACCATCAATGATCAAAGAGCACAACTTCCCTTGAATGAGGCACCTTGCATGAAAAATATTTTCTCTTTGACAATCATCCAATTCAACTGATTGACTACCCAACATCCTTCTAATCATGAACAAATCTCCTTCTAACTCTCTTTCATCTTCATGCTCATTTTCATCACTAGATGGAGAATCTGAAGAAGATTCACTAATTATTTCTCCATCCTCCTTAAGTAACATAGTCTTCTTAGTTGGACATTGAGAAGCTATGTGACCTCTTCCCAAACATTTGAAACACTTAATCTCACTACTCCTTGTTTTCTTAACTGTCTCATCAGACTTATTTTGATTTCTATGAGCTATCAAGATGTCTAACCAACTGAGTTCTGTAGCTATCATCTAAAGGATATGTTTCAAAACTTCTCCAGATGTAAGCTTCATTCTTTGACCATAGTTTCCCTGTAGGATTTTGAAACTATGGACGGTGAATGATGAAGATTGAAGTGAGAATTTTAAGAGAGTCTTCAGTCATTCCCCTTTGTCTCTATAAATCTATAATCCTATTTAGTTCTTGTCTCCACTAAGAAAATGGTGAAACTCATTCTAGTTGAGTTCAGAAATAAAACTTTTCCTTATAAGGATCTGTCAAAATCTCAGAAGTTGTTTATGTTTTAAATGCAATGGGATGTAGTATTGAACAATGTTACACCATATTGTCTAAAGTGTTGATTCACCAAGATCCCACCTAAGTTCATAGAATATTTAAAAAATTCCTCCAAAAGGGATATCAAGATTAAAAATGACTACTGGAGAGGTTTTATATTTCAATATTTCATGGAGAAAATAAAAGTAGCAAGATTTTGCATACTGAAGGATTTTTGCTAGAGAGGTTGAGTTTAGTACGGGAGGATAAATCCTTACAGTGTTGACTTTGTTGGATAAAAGTTTGACCATAAAGATGAGAGAAAAACTATGGGTATCAAAAATTAATTGGACCATTTTCTTAGGTTTAGATAGAAAGTTAGGAATTGTATTTTAGTTTCCTTTGATATGTTTAATAGAAATATCATACCTTAAAAACCAGTCCATTAGTCGGAGGATTTAAGGATTTAGGGGCATCTTATTTTTGAACTCTAGGATTCTTTTGAAAAGAAGAGTTGTCAATTTGTACTTCAAAATGATGTCCTCTAAAATGGAAGTCAAACTTTTCTATTCCATTTTTTACAGCTAAGACTTTCTTGAAAGTGGTGTGGTTGTATTTTTCAACATCTTTGAATTGTCCATTAGCATGATCACAATAATACTTTTTTCCATTCTCTTCTTCAATGAGAATTGCTTCCCAAAAACCATCACTTGCATCAATCTGAAGTATTCTTTTTCAGTTCTCTGAATGTTTTAGAACTGGAGGAGTTTGAGCTATTTTCTTAAGTTCTTTAACTGCTTGAGTATGTTTTGATCCCCAAGAGAGATGATTCTTCCTTAACAACTTGGATGAGGGATTAATATATCTAGCAATTAGGTATTGATCATTCGATTGATATATATATATATATATATATATATATATATATATATATATATATATATATATATATATATAAACTACTTTTGCATATCCAATACTCAATATCAATGAAAAGTAATCACTTTTGGACTTAAGTAACCCCTTCACTATTTCGAAGCCCATGACAAATTTTTTTTGCCTATATTAGATAGAGCTATAATTTACATAGATGATATTCTATTATTCTTTCAAGACATCAACTTTCATAACAAGTTATTGAGTCAATTCTTTGAAATATCTCATCAACACGAGATTATGTTCTCTGAGAAGAAAATTCACTTAATCTAAAGAGAAATTGATTTCTTGGGAATGTATTTCTTTCAATACTCATGTCAACCTCAACCCTACATTGTTGAGGAGCTTCTTAAATTTCTTGATGAAAACTTATCCATAAAGTCGAGTAATTTCTTGAAATTATTAACTACGTTAGAGAAAGTTATTAGAGATATATACTTGAATTTTCAAAAAAAAAAAACTTTTATCTTCTTTTAATCATTTCCAAAACTATCCTAAAAAAGATTTAACAAAATTATCATTAAAACAAGAGGTTTATAAGAAAAAAACAATGATAATTGATCTTATAGAAAAATAAAGAAAAAAATAATCAAGAGAAATGGTCATGACTAAATCAATAAAATATCAAAATTAAAAATCTAATTATATTTTTAGAAATTAATAACTCTTCCATTTGCAACCCTCCCATTAAGGTGATTGTTCCAATATCCTAAATTTTAGCTTTTCTAAAATTTGAATCATTTAATTTGTTGGAAATGATGGATTAAATACAAAATTAACATTCATATTTAGCTTCAACCACCTGATGATAATTTAAAAGTGTGTAAATATTTCTTTAAACAACTTTCATTAACAGACCTTTTTTCATATTTTTTGTTTTTCCAATATTCGAATAATTTTGTTTTAAGGGATACATATCTTGTCACAAGAAATAAGATGATAATTTTAACATTAACCAAGTCTTTAAACAAATTACAAATATACATTCATTTTTTCTATATATTTATTTCTTATTCATCACACTATTCACCACTTTGATATGATATATTTCTAAATTATTCATCACTTTTATATGGTTTTATGTGATAGGGTTTCTACTTGGGTTAGGATGTATTTATTTGTATGTAGTAAATAAATCCCTAACTTTTTGTAATGGCTTGGTATATCTTGTTACATAAACTATACTTTATTGTTGCAAAAATTAAATTTTATTATTGAAAGGATTAAATTATATTTTAATAATAATATACAATAATTTATCTGAAAAAAAGTGTAAAATATATATTTTACTTTTATAGATTATTTATTTATTTTAAATATTTAAAAATTATTTTGAAAAAATATACATTTTAAAAGATAAAAAAATTCAACCATATTACTTTTATCTTTCTGTTCTTTTGCCTTCCTGAATAAGATAAAAAGTTTATGGAAACATTTATATTCACATGTTGAGAAAATTGTTTACAAAACTAAATATCTTTTGATAACTATGTTTGATTAAGGTCACCAATTAAGCTGAAATAATCATGACTTTATGCAGGTGAATTGACGAATTATTTATTGATAATCGAAAATAAAACATCAAATTACATCAATAATTAATCAACTTAATTAAGGTAATTGAAGTGTGAGAAACCCGTCACAGAAAAAATATAATAAGAGCTAATTAAAGACATTAATTTTTTACCTAAACAGTAAATCCACACATCATCCAAGTAGAAGTTGTTAAAAAGATTTCTACATTGGTGAGAATTAAACTTGAAGGAGGGGAAAAATAGAAGAGAGAGAAGAGGCAGTTGAAGAGGGTAAAGGTTTGTGCAGTGAGTGAGATCGTTTCATTTCGTTACGTTGCACATTACCTTCCCTGTCCTTGTCGCTCTACCTGCAATCTAGGGTTCTTCGAATATACTGTATCGTGCCTTAGCCTTTCATCCTTTTCCGTTTGATTTTTCGGTCACTGTTCATCCACTTCGATCTGTTCAATTCAGGTACTTGCCGTGCGGCAATCATCTTCTTCTTCTCTTCGTCACCTGGAATTCTATCTGATCACGCTGCTCAATTCAACTTTGATTTGAGCATTAGCACTTACTTATTCCCTACGATTCAGGGCTTTATTCGAGATCTCCATTGTACGTTGCGTCGATAGAATTCACCATGACAATCGCCGATTCAGTTTTTCCGATGGATAATGTAGCGAGTTGCATACAGCTTCCACCGGAGGAGGAAAACAGGATCGTATCGGAGTTGCTCAAGGAATCGGAGCTTAATTTGAAAGAAGACAACTTATATTACGTTATTTCTAACAGGTGTTAATCTTATATAGTTTATTTTTTATCTTTTTAATTTTTAAATGAATCTATGCTATTATGTGATGAGCATGATGGTTTCGTACATGATTACCGAGTGAAAAATTATGATGATTGGCGCCTGTTCCCCTTCGTATGTAAGCGATTACTTTATGACTCTATCATGGACTGAATGGATGTTGTGTTGCGCAAGTGCCAAGACATGCATATACTAGTATATTTGCCCCGACGCATCCTATCCTTCGTTTTTTTCCCTACGTACGAAACTGCCAGGCAAGAACTTTTAACAATCTTGCTAGGTAGTTGCTTTTGAGCGCAAGGGTAGCATTACTAAAACTGAGAGCTGATATGAGTTGTCAAATATTTGTTGATTATAGTTGGTATCATAGTATTCAGTCCCAAATAGTGGCATGGAGGGGCAACCCCAAATAATGCTATACCAGGATGGTTGCTATTTTGAGCCTAACTGTCATTAATAGTCAAGGCTGGAGATCGGGCAGAAATTGTAGCAGATGGTGTACATATTTGTTTCAAGGCTGGAGACTGGAGAGATTGTAACAATTTTGTCGGAGATTGTATCATTGAAGAAAAAATTGGACAGAGAAGTGTTACAGATGTAGTAGGATGCTGAGGATTGTCCAGAAAAGAGGTGTGAGTCAGAACATAGCAGGAGCAAGGCTAGGGCGAGTGCAGCTTATGGAAGGATCAAACTCAGGCTTGGGTAGGAAGAAGGTGACGACAAAAGGAGGTGATAATAATGAACGACAACCCAGAATTAAAGGGTCTGTGATTGCCTACAAAATGCCGTTATCTTGGCTGTGATTGCTCTGCACTAGATGCAATGCAACATAGAAGAGAGGAGTGGGTTGGCCCTGATGGCACAATCATGCTATTGTAACATGCTATTAACTACAATTGTCTGTCGGTATTATCATAAATGTTTGGTAATTGATTGAATATGATCAACAAGCCATAAATGTTGGACAAATCACATTTGGTGCCAAAGCCTTTTGAGAAAAAAGGATAGGTACTGGGGTAATCACCATCTTGTAATTATTGTTGTTTATCTGATTGTTCATAGAAGAATTAACATCATGCTAGAGCAATGTGTCATATGGCTTGGCTGTGATAAAAGGGGCATTTTGTTACAGTTGTGTAGAGCAGAGATAACAGCCTAAATTGCAGACAAATAGTGGACTAACTGCAGCCACTATGGTAAGTGCTGAGTTGCTGCTCTATGGTAACTTTGACATTTCAAACTTCCCCCCCAAATCAAAATGAAACAGGGTTAATCCCTTTCGAAGAATGACGTTCTGAGTTGCTGCTCTGTTATTTTGCACCACCCATCTATAGCAGTTGGTGCATTTTTGGGCTTAGTTCTTTTCCAACAGCCCCAACATATTTTCAGACTCTTAACCTCTGATTAATCTACTTTTCTTCCAGACTCTATTCATAGTTCATACACACATATTTGCTCCTTGTTTTTGGTGCAACTTCTTCCATGATTCCATCCTAAGTACCATCTCTTTTTGTGCCAATTATTAATTCTGACGCTTTGGTGGAGTGATGGCATTGTCTCAGTCACAACCAGCCCAATGCAGCTCCTCAGCCTTATCTTGTTATTGAATTGCTAATTATGCCATAGTTTGATGGTGATTGCCTGTATGCCTTTTATATATTAATAATGGTATTTATAATTATTTTTTTGCAATTTTTAATATTTGAGCCAAGGTTATCAAATCAAGATTCAAATTATGAATTGCCAAGCTATTTTTGAATTGTGAATTGTATTTTGTATCAAATCACAATGAAAAATTACTTCAACCATATCATACAGATGATATATGGTGTTCTATGTATAGAATTTAAACAAAAAATAGATAAAACAATTTAAGTAGAAGTCAACTAAAACAAAACTTTATGAAGGCCTTATTTTTGAACAATGGAAACAAGGCAATTAAAAAGCTGAATGCAGCACATGCATTGAATGTGTGAGTGACAGATAAAGGTGGAATAATCAAATAGGATAAGTTCACAGGTGCTCTTTCAACTTCCTTTTCATTTTAAAATTAAAGCTCAGATGACTTCATTTATAAATTAAATCTCAGATGACTTTTTTTTTTTTTTTGCATGAAAATAAAAAATGAATTGTTGAATTTTGTGAATCGAGTTGATTATATGAAATTACATAGAGTCATTAAGTGATTATTTATCACTATAAAACTCAATCAAACATGCCGTAGTTGCATTTCGCCTATGCTAGAATGAAGTGTTTCAGTGTAAAGCTTATATAATTGCACCCTATATTGTATTAGAAGTGTTTTAGTATAAAGCTTATATAATTGCTCTGTATATTGTGTACCATTATATATACCTATTCTATGTGTTATTTGTGCAGGTGGTTTTCAAGATGGCAGAGTTATGTTGGGCCTTGTGTTGGTATGCTTTCAATTGACAAAGAATCTTCTGATGGTCAGCATACTGACATGACTCGCACAAAGATTTCAGATAAGCCTGGGCCTATTGATAATTCTGATATTATTTCAAAGGGAAACAACTTTGATAGCAATAGTTTAGATATTCATCGAATGTTGCAAGAGGGTGCAGATTATGTTCTAGTTCCTGAAAAAGTGTGGGAAAGGCTGTCGGAATGGTAAATTTATTATCAAAATGATTTTTCTTTTTAATTTGGAGAAAATTTTTGATCTAGTGATTTGTAGTTTAAAAGAAGGGCCATATATACATAAATTATACTGCTCCTGTTTTCTTTGAAGAAATAGCGATAAAATCATCTCTTAATACATGTGATTAAGCATGTAATGATAATTTGTAACATGTTTAATTTTAAAGTTTTCCCCTTGAATCTTCATAGGATATGTTTTTGTTGAACTTACATGTCCAGGTGTAATATTGAAAATTTGAAGCTAACCTATGTATGATTTGTGGAAACTTATTGGCATTTGGGCACCGGAAAAAATGCATGACATTAACTCAACATGTCATTAGATGGCTTAAAATGCTTGATTTTTGTAATGTGTAAATAGGTTTCTGTCTCAATTCTCTAGGTACAAAGGTGGACCTGCATTACCGAGGAAGTTAATTTCTCAGGGTATAGGACATAAGCAATACAGTGTTGAGGTTTACCCACTTAGTCTAAAGGTTACTGATGCGAGAGATAACAGCATGTTGATTGTAAAATTAAGCAAAAAGGTACCAATTGATATCAATATAGACTCTTTTGTTGTAGTTAGCTTTGCAGCAATGCCTTAAGAAGGGTGCTAGGTTATTTATTTATTTATATGCACTGTATGATTGGCCTTTTATTATTACTACAATTTGTATCAATTTTAATATTACCTACCATACTATTTTTTAAAACTAATCAATCTTTATTTCCTATAATTGTATGGTTAAATAAGGTCATCAAAATTTAAATTTCACATGTTTTTCTATTTAGTTGAAAATTCACATAAATTTTAAGTGTGAATTTCAAAATTGTAACTGCAAACCAATCAATTAAACAATAACGTGTACATGTGTATACTGGTATCTTGATACAGTATGCTTCAAATCTGGATTGGGACTATATTTGGTTGTAACATGCCATGATTTGATGATTGAATGTGAATGAGCCATCATTCTGATTTTTTATTCCCGTAATATATTTTAGGCAACCATAGGTGATCTGCGTGAGCTGGTGTGCAAAATTAAAGGAGTGGAACAAAGCAAGGTGCTGCTCCCCCCTATTTGTTTATGTTTACTTCATTTGTTATAAAATCTTACACTTCTTCTGTCTTTTTCCTTTTTCTTTGTTGTCAATTATATCAGGCCTATATTTGGGATTATTTCAATTTGAGCAAACATTCTTTGCTGACAGTCCCAGAGCAGACATTGGAGGATGCTAACTTGATGATGGACCATGATGTGAGTAACCTTGTGTAGTATAGATCTTTAGTGTATGTTTGGAGTCTTGGATTCATGATTCGGATGTGAAAAATAGAAGTTACTTAAAGTAGCTTCAGGTTGGATGTGAGCTGAATGTTGTGGCTATCTTTAAGTAGTGATATGCTGAATTTTCTTTTGGCGTTCTTCTAAATTTATGTTTAGATACTAAGACATCCTAACTTTTTGCTTGGTATTGATTCTTCTATGGATGCTTGATGCTCCTGATTCATTTCTTGTCACAGATTCTTCTAGAAGTATCACTTGATAGAGATCATGCTTCTCATTCTGGCATGGATTCAATGGGAAATGAGTTAGCTTTGGTACCATTAGAACCTTCAAGGTCATCTGTGTCAATTGCTGGGGGACCTACCATGTCAAATGGTCACTCAACTGGATCTAGTTTTATATTGTGTCCGGGAAGTTCTGTAAGTTCATCGTCGACCAATGTGGATGATAAACATGATGTCTATAAAGGTGAAAGGGGTGGTTTGGCAGGATTGCAGAACTTGGGGAACACCTGCTTCATGAATAGTTCTATTCAATGTTTAGTCCACACTCCACCACTTGTTGAATATTTCTTACAAGATTACAGTGATGAAATCAACATGGAAAATCCTCTAGGAATGCGTGTAAGTGACCATTTCCATTAACTTGTATGTATTTTTCCTAGTTCTTACATATATTTTTAGTCCTTATAAAATAAGTGAATTTTGATTTTGGTCTTTGTAAAAAAGTTTCTTTTGTTTTCTATCCCTAAAATTTCAAATCTATATTTTTAGTCCTTATAAAATGGGTGAATTTTTATTTTAACCCCTCTTGTAAACCATTTCTCTTTGATTTTCATCTTTTCAAAATTTAAAATCTCTATTTTGGTCCCTAATTATTTTAGATAAAAATTGTTTATTTTAGGGATTGTAATTTTTTTTATTAATGTTGCATGTTGTCATTGTAGTATCACATATACTATTCAGTGTCACTTAGGATGATTACTTGACATTTGTTAAACACATAAAAACAGTTTTATGAGTGTAATATAGTACTAGGGATCATAAGCAATTATTTCCAAATTTAGTGGAACTAAAACAAATATTCTTTTGTAGAGACCAAATCAAAACATGCTCTTTTTCAGGAACTAAATACATATTTAATCTTAAAAACAGTGTACTATGATGACTTTACTTTGAAGGCAGTTTCAAATTTTAAATGAATTTTGAAATTGTTTCATGTGTCTTGACAGGGTGAGTTAGCACTTGCATTTGGTGATTTGTTGAGGAAACTGTGGTCTGCTGGGCGAACTGCTATTCCACCCCGTTCATTCAAGAGCAAATTGGCCCGATTTGCCCCACAATTCAGTGGTTACAATCAGCATGACTCTCAGGTTAGTTTACTCAAATTGTCGAAGTTCTTTATTTTTGATATTATTCTCAAGTAATAAACTCAATCTGTTATCAATTAATACTGGAATGTCACCTTGTGCAATATCCAGACAACTTTAGGCATTCTTCCACCAATCTTACTGTAATATGAAATTCCTTCTATTGATCATTCATTGTTTCCGTGGGTAATGTAACTCCATCTTTGATCATCTGTTTCAAAACTCAGTTGATAATTGAAATATGACAGTAACTCAGTCAATTTTTTTTTTTTTTTTTTGTTTTCTTACGTAATTTGTCTTTTGCTTTTGCTTATGCTTAACTTGCATTGGCAGAATCCTACCCTTGAGAGTCATGTTTTGCGTTTAAATTAGACATGAGAAAATTTGTGATTGCTTGAATTTCTTTCAGTGATAGCTTTTGGTTATTTTAAAATTGACCTTTACAAAATTGAACTTCAGCCCTTTTATGATTGTTGTATATTTGATTAATGGATTTCCCTTTTTAAGGAATTGCTTGCCTTTTTATTGGATGGTCTACATGAAGATTTAAATCGTGTGAAACAAAAGCCTTACATTGAAATGAAGGATTCGGATGGTAGGGCAGATGAGGAAGTTGCATCTGAGTGTTGGAAAAATCATATGGCTAGGAATGATTCATTGATTGTTGATGTATGCCAGGTGAGTATATGTCCATGTTGTTTCGTAGACACTTTCTGCATGGATTATAATTGATCCTCCATTTGTTGCCTCTTAGCTTAGTTAAATGTTTAAATTTCTGCCCTGTTGTCTCTTTCTTCTCTCCCCTGTTTTGGCACAAAAAGTGGAGAGAAGAACCTGTAGTTATGAATTACTTACCATATTTATATATTTTTAACTCTATTCAATTTTAGTTATAATTTATTTGTTTGATCTCAAGTATTTTACCCTTCTCAATAAGACTTCTCTGATTTTTATTAATTTTTTAAACTTTATTTTCTATGAAAGCTTGACAATATGGAGTTTCAACTTTTAAATTCATTCTGGTTACCTTTACTAAGCGTGGCATTTTGAATTTTCTGCAATAAAATTCTCAGGGTCAATACAAGTCAACATTGGTTTGTCCAGTTTGTGGAAAAATTTCAATAACTTTCGATCCATTCATGTACTTATCATTGCCACTACCTTCTACTGTCACTCGCACAATGACAGTAACTGTCTTTTATTGTGATGGGAGTCGCCTTCCCATGCCATACACAGTAACGGTTCTGAAGCATGGTTCGTGTAGAGATCTTTGCCAAGCATTAGGTACTGCATGTTGCTTGAAGAGTGATGAAATGCTTTTGCTTGCAGAAGTAAGTGCTTCTCATAAAAGTTGTTTTTTCGTGGCTTTAATTTCAATGATTGATGGTTTATATGTCTATCTCTTAGGTTTATGAGCATAAGATTTATCGATACCTAGAGAATCCTTTGGAATCATTGAATTCAATAAAGGATGATGAACACATTGTGGCCTATCGAATCAAAAGTGGGGCCAGGAAAACAAAACTTGAAATTATGCATCGTTGGGTGGATAAGTAAGTTTACATATTTTTATGTGTGCTTTTCGATATACCTTTACATTGAATTGGCCCGAAGCTCTAATGATTCATGGTTGCCTAATTATGAGTTATTTTTGTCTATGATGATGTTTAGTGTGGTCTTGGTCCTTAACAGAGTGTTTAGATGCGAAGTTTTGAGAGAGGAATTCTTCTTAAGTGGATTAAAATATCAAACATCAAAATGTCTTGAATGGATACCAAAAGGCAACGGATTTTCAAAATGATTGGAGCTTCATAGGTTTTTTAAAAATAAATCGTAGAGATTGCAAACAACATTATAAATGAAAGAATTTGGAAATTCCTTCTCTTTTTTCCTAAGTTTCACTATCAACTCACCCATCTCAAAGTTTTGGTTCACCCTGTCTACTGTTTGTTTCTCCCTTTCTGTCCGAACTTCTCTCTTCTGACTTCTCTTTCCCTTCCTCATTCCTGAAGTCTCTCTTCTGCAACTCTCTCCCCCTCTCCCTCTTCAGTGCCTATCTTTCTCATTTCCTTTTCTTCTTTTGTGCACCTGTCCCTCTGTCTCCTTTAGTCTCGTCTGCTCCTCTCTGTCTCCCTCTTCCCTTTCTCTTTTGCTCATCTGCACTTTCTTTCTTCCACACCTCTCTCCTTCCAGTTCCCTTCTCCCTTTCCATTTATCCTTTACACCTTTTTTTTTTTAAATAAATGTATAAAAATGAAATTTTACATATGATGGGAATTATATAACTTCATCCAAACAGAATTTAAAATACAGGGAATTTGAATTGCTATAGTCAAACATAATAAAGTCTTTAATTGAAGCAATTATATATCCATCCATTTCAATTTCTTATAATTTTTGCAATTATCTTTCCAAACAATACCTAACTTTTTGGTAAATGTATTCTTAGGGTTCCCCTTTAACTGAAAGTAATACTGTTGGTTAGTTGAATTCAGTTGCAACTTGTAAAAAAAATTGCTATAAGATTTTTCTCCTTGGAAGTAACTGGTTGCGTACACCACAGTTTTCAGTAATTGGTCAATCTTTTCCAGAGTACATATGGGAATCACTAACAGATATTTGTTATGGTAATTAATATCAACTGTCTCTGGATACATTCATATCCCTATAATTTTGCTGGTGCTTTGGTTTATTTTGTCCATTATTGGGCAAGTCAAGTAGCAGGTGCCATTCAAATTGGTAACTATTACTCAGGATACACCACTATCACATAGGAGTTAGGATAGCATACATAACCATTTTTGGCTTAGTATAGGGAAATCTGCCATAGCATGATTCCTCAACCGGTTATAGACATTTCACCAAATTGTTCTTGGTACTTAGATGACTGTGATATTGTTTCAATTTCAACCGACCAGATTGTTCTTGGTACTTAGATGACTGTGATTGTGTTTCAATTTCAACCAAATTGATTTTTTGAATTACCTTAATGTTCACTGGACAGTACGAAGGGCGGAGAAAGGAAGCTCTTCGGAACCCCCTTGGTCACGTATTTGGTAGAAGATCCTCAATTTGGAGCCAACATTGAGGCATGTGTACATAAATTGTTGGCACCTTTAAGAAGAGCATATTCTTCAACTAAGTCTCATGATGGGAAGGAAAATGGTTTCGTCTCAGCTGGCAGTGATGAGCAATCAAGCATCTCCAATACTCATAGTGAATCACAGGGTCTATCAATTGAAAGCAAAGAACAAGAGGGAACATCATGCGGGGAGTCATCTTTCCAACTAGTTTTAACTAACGAAAAATGTTTGACTTGTGAGCCCATTGGGAGGGCTTCTTTTATAAAACCCAGCCAACTTATAAGAATCTTTCTTGACTGGACTGACAAAGAAAATGAATTCTATGATTCTAGCTATCTGAGGGATCTCCCGGAAGTCCACAAAACTGGATTCACTGTGAAAAAAACCAAGCAAGAAGCTATTTCTTTGTTTTCTTGCTTGGAGGCATTCTTGACTGAAGAACCTCTGGGACCAGATGACATGTGGTAAGATTATTTTCATGTTTTTGAAATGGACTTCATACTATACTGCCGTGAGCCTTGTTTTTTGAGGGATATTGCTGCTTCAATTCTTTTTTCTCCTTTTCAAAATTAACTAGGTACTGCCCTAGATGCAAGGAACACAGACAAGCTACAAAGAAGTTGGACTTGTGGAAGTTGCCCGAAATTCTTGTTTTCCACTTAAAACGATTTTCATACAGTAGATACCTGAAAAACAAACTAGACACTTTCGTGAATTTTCCCATTCACAATCTTGATTTAACAAAGTATGTGAAAAGCAAAGATGGACAGTCGTATGTATATGACCTTTATGCAATCAGCAACCATTATGGTGGTTTGGGTGGTGGGCATTACACTGCTTATTGCAAGGTAAGTTCATAACATGCACCTGCTGCGATGCCAAGTCATTTTGTAATTTGTGAATTCTTTCTACTGTTTGAGATGTTTGTTTTAAAACCTTGTGTTCAATTGTTCTGCCAATTTATAACAGTTGATCGAAGACAATAAGTGGTGTCATTTCGATGACAGTCATGTCACTCCTGTTACTGAAGCGGAAATTAAATCCTCTAATGCATACGTGTTATTCTATCAGAGAGTTAGAAGTAAAGGCCAGATGGAAGGAGAGACATCTCAGGTTCATACAGTATAGACCATGATGGGGCATTTTGTTGGCCTTTAGCAGTTAGCGCAAAATGGACCTTATGTCCCGGATAGTTATTTTACTTTGCAGTACAAAACTGCTAGGTAAAATGCGAGACAAGATGTTATCGTGGCTTAACAGCTATTAAACATAAATGTTTTAGTGAGACAAAACTTGATATCGTTGGTAGTATCAGTTACAAATCACTACATGAATGATATCATTTTTTGATAGGGAAATTTTGGCAGCCTATGAACTATTTGTTATTATTTCATTTCATCGGAGGGTTAAAGAAAACGATCATAATGAATTCATCATAATTGTTGTTTGACTGTTGTAATTCGTATCGCCCTAATAGGGCGGCGCTTGTGTTTGCGAAAGAACCGATCTACCCTCCTTCCCTCTTTATGTTATTAGGATTTTAGGACCCAGTGTCACGTGGAAGAGATGAACCGCATGTATTGCTTTTCGTATCCATAACAAATGACAATTATAAATTTAATGATTCTTATTTTATTTATTTTACAACATTATATAATTATTTTAATTTCAAAAAGTATATATTATCTTATCTTCTGTATCTCTCGTTTCATATTTTATGAGATTTTCTTTCTAGACTTTGTTTGGATGATTGAATGAAAAAATCAGAGTAAAATAGAGTAAGAGAGGAAAACAAGATTGTTTAGATTTAATTTAATAAAAGATAGTGGAAATAGATAAGAAATAAGTGAATATTTATAAATTGATTTAAATGTGAATAAATTAATATTTGTTGTTTATTTTTGTCATTTATTATGAAAAATAAAATAAAAGAATTGTAGTGGAGATGCAAATACCTTATAATTATGTCCATGTATTAGAAGAAGAAATTTCTACGCGTCATTCTTCTTTCCTGTGTTAAGTATAATAAAAATATATTTTAGAACCTTACTTTCTTTAAAATTCAAGACCTTTTCTGTAAAAAAATGTTAAAATTTTTAATCTCTCTCTCTCTCTCTCTCTCTCTCTCTCTCTATATATATATATATATATATATATATATATATATATATATATATATATATATATATATATATATATATATATATATATATATATATATATATATATATAAGATATAATACTATTAATATTCCCACCTTTTTTTCTATCTCTCTTGATAAAAGACCTATATTTTCTATATCACCGATCTTTTAAAATATTTATATGATACACTTGTGATTAGCAAATTAATATCGTTTTTTGTCACTATTTTATCATAAAAAAGTGTTAGGTTAAGTATATTTATCTACATAACAATAATGCATAATTATACCATTATTTTTTTAAAATAACAATTACATGACATTATTGACGTTAATCTATAATGTCTATATTGATTCAACTAAAGAAGGCTGATAATGAATTTCTTAGTCAAAGTCAATAATGTCTTTATATTTTATAAAAATTTAAATATTTTATAGAAAATTGTCAAGATTGATGGATAAAATAAAAGTAATTTAATATTATTAAATTAATGATAATTATTTGACATTTTTATACTAACAATAACTCAAAAAAGTAATTAGAGTGTATTATTATTATTTATTATTTTGGACATAATATGAAATTAATTGAACTCTTTTTCAAGTTATACTAGTAATTCCCAATCTCAAAAATGATCATCTTCTACTCTTTTTTTCCTAAAAATGAAGATCAATAAAAAATATATTATTTATTAAAATAATTGTACTCTATTAACAAACATATTATTTTTACTTATTAATGTAAATATTGAAGTAATTTATTTAAAATAAATTAAAGATTTAATAAAAAGATATTAATACCAAACTCCTTTTGTTTTTCTGTCATCCTACTCTTATCTCCTAGTCAGTTCATGTATTTCACGTTTTATTTATAGCAACCATAATTATTTCATCCAATATCATAATTGCTCATAATTTACATAATATTTTTTACTATAAAGGATAATAATGTTGCAATATTAATTATGACTAATACTGAGAACTGAAAATACCATTATAATTTCAATATCTTCGATATGCATTTCTTCTTTTTATTTTTTTCAAATGAGAGTAGAGAGTTCATTAAAATCAATCTACTTAAATAAGTGCAAATCTACAAAAACAAACTATCATCAATCCTTCAAATCTGTTAATCTTTCATCGTAAAATATTTCTGTGACCATTTACACCCTCTCTTTCTTTGTATCAAAATCAACCTAAGCGTTTTCCTTCCTCATGATTGAAATAGTTGTACCAAAAAGATATTTCTGGAGTAGCGTGGCTAGCTAGGTGAATATATCAGAATTGAATACTACAAAATGTGAGCATCGGCCGTAGCACATTATTATTATTATGAAAAAAATGTCTGATAAAAATACCAATGAAATTGCATCTATTCCTCATGTAATGTAATGTAATAATAATAAATATTAGTCCCGGGGGTGGGGAGTGACAAGACAAGGTTCCTGAACTCCACAGCCACCTTCCTTCCTTCCTAGACATCTCATCGTGTGCTCCCTGCAAAATTAAGACAAACACAACAAAAGGCACCGCAAAAGGGTTAACTTTCTTTATGATGCCAACTAGCAATTGCCAGCCAACAAAAAAGTGTCTCATGCTGATGCTGCCTCTTTCCTAACCAGTACCTTTTTCAGACGTCTCATTCTCCCCCACCAAACAGTGGCAACAATTACATGTGACAATAGTAACCTAATCCAATCTTAATCATGGTTAGGGTAACAAATTATTGCAACCAGTTACTACAATACTGTCAGAAACGTACACAAATTGTGTCTTTATTGTTAATATGTGTACATATTTCTGTAGTACATTAGGGTAACATAATGTCCTTTTTGTTAATATGTATACATATTTCTGTACCTAAAAAACACAGAACTGTCATATTGTATAAATTTATAATTATAACATTTGTCGGAAGGTTTCTCTAAAGTTTCTGAAATTATTGTTTTTACATATATTTTTAAATATATTGTGATGTTAAATTATTTTTCTCTAACCTTTAGTTTAATTAGAAGTGAAAAAAATAAAAATTATATTAGGTTGAAAATTATACTAAAAGTTTCCATAAAATATCTTTCTGAGATTAAAAGAAATTCAAATATAAAAATTATATATCAGTTTTACTCAAACTTACCCACTATTGCATCCAAGTGTAACTCAACTATACTTTTAGGGCAAAATTCAAAATTTGAATGGACAGAATGGTGACGTTTGATATGCTCTTTATGAGGAGGGCGACAATAATTCCAATAGTAAGGGACAAGCAAAGTGAAAAATAAGAATAAAAAAAAAATGTATTAATAATAACGTAGCTTGCGTTGTGGGGTTTACCTTTTCTCCCTTCTCATCCTGCCTTTGTTCTTCTCCCTATCGCCATGCGCCCGTTTTTCTTTCGATTCTGCATCTAAATATCCTTAAAACTTCAAAATCAACCCCACCATCAGCGCCACCACAGAGGATAACCAACGTCTCTCCTGTGTTAAACCAAACAAAACATCAACGTTATTACAGTAACGCTTATACTCCGAGTCAAAAACTAACTAGTTAGTTGAAAAGTAAAAATAGAAAAGAAAAGTGTCATTACAAAAATACTACAATATTCTCAAAAACAGATAAATTCCACATATTTATAAAAACCAAAATAATTAATATAATATTTAATATTATTATATTAATGTAAAGGGTGTAGTATGGATGTTTAGATTATCAAGAAAACATTTATTATGAAAACAAACTTTGGACTTTATCTATAAATCAATGAGAAGTGATATGTAGACAATTTCCATCAACCATATATCCTATCAATAATTAATTTTATAATAATACAAAAATATATTTTTATATTTATTATTTATTATTTAAAAGAATTGTTAATTGAATGTAAAAAAAAACAATGATGTCACAATATTATTTCTCAAAATAAATAAGGACATCGTATATCATTCAAAAATTCAAAATATTAATAAAATATTATATATTATTATTTAATTAAAATATATCATTTACCCACTTAAAATATTAATATAATATTATATACTATTATTTAATTAATAAATAAGTTGTGTGTTTGGATTATCAACTCATATTTTTACTATTTAAACCTAAACATAGTTATAGATTTTTACACATCCACAGTACAGCTTCAAAATAATTATCATTTTATTTTCAAATCACAAATCAAATTTACCATAAATTCAATAAAAGAAAATACGACAAGTATATAGCTATTGTTCATTTTTATAATATTTAATTTAAAATTTATTGCATATATAACATGTAATTGAAACCAATTTTTTTTATAAATAACACCATAAAATTCAGGAAAAAAATAACCGTTCTCAACGAAAACCATCAGGTTCATAGATAATCCCGAAACACATGTTGAAGGAATAATATGCATTTCTTACAGAACCTTAACTTTCTTCTTTTTTGGCACAACTATTACCCCAGCTGATGCGAGGTGAAATAATTTATATTTTAATTAAATATATACTTCAAAATTCTGCAATTTAATTTTTACAAATAAAAATTATATTTTTATTTATTTTATTTTGCTTCTCTAATAAATTTTCATTATTATAAAACTAAACAGATTGAAACATGAAAAAAAACTTGTTCGTATAAAAACTAAAAAACAAATTTTCATATATTATCCATTTTTCTCTCTATCAACTTTCCTATAGTAACCATTATTAAATTTATAAAATTGCCACCTATAAGATGCAAATAGTTAATTAAAATAAAGTTAAATAAGGAATCAAATTGCCACCTATTATGAAAATTCTGACTTAAATGATAAATAAAAGTTATAGTAAGTGGAAAGTAATAGTGGAGTTAGTGTAACCGACCAGAGAGGGAGCAGAGGAAATGGACAAATATCCGGTGGAAGAGGTAGGTGGCCGCGGAGGGGTGCCGGCACCGGTGCTGTTACTAACGGCGTCGTTGGGGGCAGAAGCCAGAGAGAAGCCAAGGGGGTAAGCAGGGGTCCCATCGGGCTTAAAAAGCCCATAGTTGCGTTCGGAAGTTGGGCCAGGCTTCATGTTCTCGTTAAACAGAGCGAAAACGTAAATGTTCAAATCGGTGTTGGGCCTGGACGGTGTGCCCTTCTTGCTGCTACTCATAGCCATCTTAATGAGATTCCCATTATACTTCTTCGCGTTCTCCAGGTTCGCACCGGCTTCGTCTTCATCCCCCTTCGAAGGCCAACCAGTTTCCGAAATGTGAACCGGCAATTTCCCGTAGCCCAAAGAGGTCAACGCGGAATACACGGCGTCGATCTGCGCAAACAACATGTTATCGTAGTGGAGGTTACTGGAGGGGTCCACCATCCCCTGGTTGGGTTGGAATAGCACGAAGTCCAAGGGAACCTGTTTGGGGTTGGCCTTGTAGGCGAAGTAAGGGTACGCGTTGATGAGGAAGGGAGATCCGGTTTTGGCTTGGAAGCTCAGGATGGGAGCCAGGCACGGAGCCAGGTCCGTACGGAAGGCTCCTGCCGAAGGAGGATACGAGGTTTGGAGCACGGCTAAGGAGTGCGTGGTGGTGACGGTTATTTGTTTGTCGAGGGCGAGGTTGAGGAGCGCCGTGTGCACGCTCTGCATAGCTGGGAGGAGGTTCGAGGTCAGAGAGGTGTCGTTGAAGGTGAGAACCTCATTCCCGACGAAGATTGAGGTGATTTTGGTGGCCGGGAGGTAGGGTTGGAGGTTGGCTTTGATCCATGCCTGCGCCTTCGTTGGATCTTTCATTCTGGACAAGTACTCGTTGCCCAGACCTACCATTACTTCCACTCCGGTGTTGGCGAACGCTTTCAGAACCCGCGGATCTGCGTCGTAGAGCTTCACTTTCGTTGCTCCGACGCATTTCACCAACGCCACTGCGTCGTCCGGTGAGGGAAGATTGTTGGCGATTTGACCGTAGTTTATCCCAATCGATAAAACGCTCGTTGCAAAAAATGCTACAGCTACATTACAAAACATTGTGAATTCCATTTCCGATGAAAACGTACAAAAAAAAATGGCTTAGTGAATTAACTTACTGGTAATGAAGAACATACTAAAGATGCGAGGGAATGTGGAATGATCCTCCATGGATCTTTTGTTAAATTAGGAATGTGAAGGGGAATTAGGTGAGAGTGTGCGCTGAAATTGAGTTGACGAGAAGTATTGTTCTGGTGTGAGTGAGGAGTGTCTCCGGACAGAGAATAGATTGGGGAAAAGAGAGAGAGTGGAGGTGATGGATATTTTAATTTGGAGAGAAAATAGAATTTAAAAAAATGTGATAGATAAAGGAAAAAGATTCCCTGGAAAATAATAGGAAGGCAGACACGCGGAAAGATGGGTGCAACAAATTCGATTATTTAGAAAGCAGAGGAATAAGATGCTTCTTCATCCAACCCTCCCACTCCTCTATTATGTTTGCTTTTTTCTGGGCCAAGAAACGAAGCTCAAGAAGAAAGTACCTCAATTTTATTTATTCACCATTTCCTTATGCATCTTTAAATTCAACCTATTCCTTTTATCATAAAAGTAACATAATCAAGATATAATACAGTATTAAGTTTGAATACGACCACATTGTTAAGAAAGAGTTCCATATCTGCATTTTGTTCTTTTCTCTTCTTTCATTGAGTGACAAATATTTCTTTTTTATTTTCCATCTTAAGTACCATGTCAAGACGTAAACAAGGGCAAACTTTGCACCGTTGAACATGTTTTCTTCCACTTTTATTGTCAGTATCATATATATATGTTGATATATGGTTGGATTCTAGAATTGACATGTACGTTACTATGCTCTAAGATATCTGGTTGAACATGTTGTGAGATATATTAAAACATATTCCCAATAAAGGAAAACACCATTGTTCATTCCCATGTATAGTAAAATGTGGCTAGAAAGATATTGTTCTTTTTGCATGGTACATGGAAAAAAAAAATCTCATCTAGAATTAGAAGACAAATTTGATAATAGTGTCATTAATATTGAAAGACAAATAGAAATACACATGTATGTAAATGTTTATTGATTATCTATATTAGTTACTATATTTAACTCATGTTTAGGTTTGGAGGATTTTGTTTATTGATTATGTATAATTGATTAAAGTATTTATGATAAACAGCTGCTTAAATTTATCAAGCACAGTAATTATTTATTTGTTTTCTTTAAACACTTTTTAATTTATTTTATCTAATTTTATAATTATAAAGAAAGGGAGATAAAGTATATTCTATTCTATTATATATATATATATATATATATATATATATATATATATATAATATTTTAAATTCTTTTTGTAGAATTTGGTGAAGAAGAAAAATTAAAGAAATATGGAAGGATGAAGGTTAACCTAATCAAAATTGATGTTGTTTATTCATGATGAGTATTGAGTCAACCAATATTTTCTCTTGTGTTAATAAACACTAGATGGGAGAGTATAAATACTCAAGAATTAGGTTTTGCCTAGTTAGAACAATACCTTGTGCAATGAAAAATTGTTGTAAGCTTTCACCCAACCAGTTCAAGATCTAGCTCAATTAGCCATTTACATGTTTTTTTCTCTTAGTTCAAAATTTTGAATATGAAGAAGAATTTTAGATATATTTGGATAGAAAAGAAACCTACCAAACTCATACATTGAACAACTTCTTCCGTGACTTTCATTTCCATTACTTCTTCCCTTTTTTTGTTTTGTTTCATGTTATTCAAAATCATGAATAACTAAATTATTTTTTGTTAGGTTAAATGTAATCACCATTCTTGCATATTTTGAATATATTTATATATAGTCTTAATTTCTCTTCTTTATTGTTATTTTATATATGTTCTTGGTTATTATTATGACTTGATAAACAAAAAAACAATTAAATTGTAAGAGATTGAATATGAGATCTTAGTCTAAGATAAGACAAGCAATAAATAATTGGTTTTGGACCAAACAATTAGTTATTAATTATCTTTAAATACTTTAATTTAATATATATTATCTGAATGAGTTGATAATTGATTGTGATTACAATATATACTATTATATTATGAAAAATAACTATTCATAATAAAAAAGATAAAATATTTATTTAATAAGTTTAATAGTCTAAATGAAATGAATAATATTTATTTATATATTTTATTTTTTAGTATTTTTCAATTTAAAATATTATATTTATTTAATTTTGATTTTTCTCTTAAATTCTAATTATATAACGTTTTTCATTCCATTTAAGTCTGTTAGTATAAGTAGCTATTCCTATTATTTTAAATTTATGTGAATTTTTTACACTTATAAAAAAGTCAAGAACTTTAATAATTATAAATAAATATAGTCAATTATATTTAAGATATGATACACTGAAAATATTTTACATATTAAAATCTAAATTGAATTATGCGATGAAATATTAACAATTAATTTTAAGTTTCAAATAATTGATTGTATAAAGATTTAAGTTGACTCTAACCAATCAAATATGGATTTTTTTTTCTGTTCTATTTTCCTCATCTGCCTCCTTTACTCTTTGCGATCACTTTCTTTCTATCTGTCAAATGAAGAGAGAGGGACTGGTTCTCTAAAAAAAAGAAAATATTGAATACTGATTTCATTTAATACATTTACTACATGCTACGTTTTAATGTTTTAGGAGGAAAGAATATTAATATGTACTTATTGAAAATATTTGATAATGTTAATATACAGTCTGATTCAAAGTTACAAAATATTCAAGTTAATTAGTTAATAAATTGAAAATAATAAATAAGTTGATTTTTAATTATTTTATCAAATTCAATTTAATTTAAATTTATTTAATTTATCTAAGAAAATAACAATACTACATCAAATTAAAACTCATTTGTCTAAACATTTATACAAATATACTCTATATTTGTATACTCTAAACTTAAATATGTATATTAAAATATTTTTAAGACTAAAAATAAATGAGATATATAGTTTTAATATTATGATAAAAAGTGAAAAGAGTACAAATGTCATCAGAAAAAAACAATTGTCATATTTCATTAACTAATATAATGTTAGAATTTGGAAAAAATAATAAAAAATTAATACTGAGGACTGATTTATTTACTGTTTCTAAAAATAATTTTAATATTTTAGTTTTTAATTTTTTTTTCATAATTTATAAAACAGCTTTTAAAAACTATTTTTGTTCTTTATTCTTAAACACTGAAAATTCAAATATAATAAAATACAATTCCAATTTTTTATTAATATCTATCAACGTTTTTATTAATAATAAAATTAAATTATTCATTTTCATCATTTTAATATTAAAATCATTTTTATTTTTTTTATTATAATTTTTTTATGTTCATCTATAAATTAATTATATAAATAATATATATTTTTTAAAATTATTCAAATAAAATATATGAATTTATTCATTTAATATTTATTGTTTATACTTAATTTTTCTTTTTTTTCTTTTCACAAATTTTTTTATTTTTTTACCTATCTTTATTTATTCATTTTTTTTCATTTCATATATTTCATTTTTTTCTCTCCTCTATTAGTTATTCTTCTAATTAAAAATATTATATTAAAATTTAATAAAAATATATTAAAATAATTATTTTAAATCAATATTAAAATTAATAATTTCAATTAACTATTTTAATGACAATAAATAATTATTTTATTTTATTTTATTATAATAAATCAATTATTATTTAATTAAAAATATTAAATATTTATGAATTATTTTTATTTTTATGTGATAATTTTATCTAGTTATAATTAAATTAAGTTATGATGATTATTCAATTTAAAAAAATTACTTTGAATTAAATATTATTTTTTTAATAATTATAATATAATAATATTTGTAATATTTTAAAATTATTAAGTAATATTTTTTTAAATATAATATATTATAGTATTTTTTATTAAAAAAATAAGATAAAGCTAAAGAAGTAAGAGAAGAATAAGAAAAAAGAAGTGAATAATAAGAATAAGTAAAGAAAAAATTATATTATATCCGATTATTTTATTTTTCATTGTGAAATTTAATTTTGTATATAAATAATAAAAAATCTATTCATAAATATTTTATTTAAATAATTTTTTTAAAATGTATTATTTATAAGATTCTTTGGTAATCTTTTCAATCACAAAGTTTTTGCGAAGCAAGCTGGTGGAGGAAAAAGTTAGTAAAAGTGTCATGTAAGTTGCAAGTTAGGTCTTATTAACTTTATAATAGTTTGACATACACGACCATACTAACATCAAATTCATTAATATAAATGAACAAATTCACAATAAACTCACACTGATTGATTTATGATGACGATGACGATGATAATGGAGACGGTAACCGAAGCAATCGTTCCCTCATTACTTTACTTTCACTTTCACGCTTACGTGATTAACATTTCCCACACTCAGCAAAGGGAAATTGAAAACTGAACGTTTTTTCGGCAGAACTTTACAACCAGTTACATAAGTTACTAATTATCTTAGAACTGTTAATTAGATTAGTTACTTTACCAAACCTCAATAACGGTTAAATATTATATTTTTACAGTATTTTAAAAGTGCAATTATATATTTAATATATATATTTTTTTATACTCTCTCTGTTACTTGTCATTAATTTCTTTATGCTATAACAGTGGTATAAAAGATTAGGGAAGAAGAAGATTTGGGAAAATGAACGGTGATTGCATTAATTGGGTTGCATGATAATATGTTAGAACTCCATAGCAAAAATCTGAATGAGTATATTAGTTGGTGTGTAAAGATGAAAACCATTTTTTGTTTTCAAGAAGTTTGAGAGGTAATTGTGAATAAATATGAGAAGTTATCAGAGAACCCTACCAAGATACAATATGTGACGTTTCGAAAAGAAAAGAAACTTGATTACAAAGTTATGTTCTACATTCATTAGTGTGTTAATGAAAATAACTTTGAGAAGATTTTATTGACAAACTCGGCAAAAGAAACATGAGATATACTTGCGCACAGTTACGCAAATGGAGAAAGGTTGAAGGTGGTGCGACTTCAAACCTTGTGTCATTATGATGAGTTATTGCAGATGCAGACATAAGAAACCATTCAAGAATACTTTGT